CGCACGCATGCCAGGCGAGCGCGCTACCGCTTGAGCCACATCCCCAGCCCCCTAACTTTTTCTTATGTTTATTATTATTGTTGGTATTTTGTTGTTATTTTTTTTATTTTGTTTTGCTTTGCTTTTGGTACTGGGGATGGAACCCAGGGATTCTTTATCACTGAGCTACATTCCCAGTTCTTTTTTATTTTTTATTTTGAGATAGAGTCTCACTGACTTGCTGAGGCTGGCCTCAAACTTTTGATCCTCCTGCCTCAGTCTCCCAAGTTGCCAGGATTACAGGAGAGCACCACAAGGTCCAGCTTTTTGTTGTTGTTTTGAGATAGTATGTCTCATTATGTTGCCCAGCTGGCTTTGAACTCCAGGACTCAAGCAGTCCTCCTGCCTCAGTCTCCCTAGCAGCTGGAACTGCATCACCACACCTGGCTTCCTTACTGTTGATCTCTTTGTTGCCTTACAGTTAAATCTCTTTTGAGAATCTAAGTTTAAGATTAGATTCTGTTCTCTCTGTTTGGGGAATAGAAGTAGGGTATTAGCTGTACCTCCAAGTGCAAATCATAAAGCTGATTGTAGAAATAAGGTTTAGAGCCATTTGGTTTTCATGGTTAATCCCTAAAAGGGCAGCTGCCCAGGTAGGTAGCAGTCATAGGGAAGAGGCTTCATGTTGGGGTGGCCCCAACCACCCACCCACCCAGAACCTAGCCACCACTTGAGGGCACCAGAGACTCAGAGCAGAGAGACTCTGCCCCTCAATCACCAAAATCCGTTCTGTATTCACACATGCTGCCAAGATCCAAAGGCCTAGAGGAGGGAGACCCCAGGAGCAGGCCTTATCTTTTTATTTAGCCCCAGATTGAAGACAAGGTTTGAAGTTAGAGTCTTCAAGAGTTCAATATGACTAGGCATGGTGGTGCATGCCTGTAATCCAGCTACTTGAGAGGCTGAGGCAAAAAGATCAAAACCCACCAGGGCAATTTAATGAGACCCTATTTCAAAATTAAAAAAAAAAAATTAAAGGGTTGGAGGAATAGTTCACTTGAAGATTATTCCTGGGCTCAATCCCCAGTATACAGAAAGAAAAGTTTAAAAAAATCAGTATCTTAGGCTGTTTACAAAACCATTTTGTCCCATTTATAATGGACAAATTAGAAGAGCAAAAGTCAGGCATGTGGGGCAGAGAGCTGTTCAGATGTCAAATTTTTCTGGGAAGGATCATAGATTCTATATAGCATCCAACACATACACCTACCTAAATGGAAATATTTAAATCCTGGGAAATTGATTTTGTCTGTTTGTTTTTGGTGCTGAGAATAGGACCCAGGGCCTCACATAAACTAGGCAGATGCTCTACAACTGAGCTATATCCTTACCAGTCTCAAAGGACTTTTTTTTTTTTCTACAGTATTAGAATAAATTCAGGGAGGCTCTACCAGGAGCTACATCCTTAGCAACCTTTGTTTGTTTTTTTTAGTACCAGGGATTGAACCCAGGGGCATTTAACCACTGAGCCACATCCCCAGCCCTTTTTATATTTTGAGACAGGGCCTTGCTAAGTTGCTAAGGCTGGCTTTGAACTCACGGTCCTCCTGCTTCAGCCTCCTGAGCCTCTGTGATTACAGGTGTGCAGCACCATGCCCAGCTTGTTTTTTAATTTTTGAGACAAGATCTCACTAAGTTGCCAAAACTGCCTTCAAACTTGCAATCCTCATGCCTCAGCCTCCTGAGATTATAGGCATGCATCATCAAAGGGGTTTAACTTGCAATCCTCATGCCTCAGCCTCCTGAGATTATAGGCATGCATCATCAAAGGGTTTTTTTTTTTTCAAATGTTTTCCAGATGTTGATAAACCCTTTATATATATATATATATATATATATATATATATATATATATATATACACACATACACACACACACACTTATTTATTTATGTTGCTGAAAGTCAAACCCAGTGCCTCACATATGCTGGGCAAACCCTGTACCACTGAGCTACAATCCCAGCCCCATTAAAGAATTTTTAATAAAGTTGGTGAATTTACAAATTGAAACCTTGTGATTTCTCAGGGATGGGCTGAGCTGAGAAAAGCTTGTTGTGGTTTGACAGGATTTCATCCTAACAGTCTTTTCTCTCTATTTGAAGTTAAATGAACTGGTAGTGGGAGATACCAGCGGAAAGCTGTCTGTGTATAAGAATGATGACAGCCGGCCATGGCTCACCTGCACCTGTCAGGGAATGGTCAGTATTCACCTCCCTGGGTTTGAGGGAATAGAGATAGAATCCACTCTGTGCAGGGATTGGCAAGGGAGAGTTCCATGCCAGAGCTCCCCAGTGTGTCTTTACTCCCCAAAGGACCAGCCCAGCCACTGCTTTAGGATTCGTTTAACTCAGGGAGAATGGTGCCAGGCACTACTCTCATCTGTCCCAACCCCCCCGCACCCCAACAAGCTTGGGTTGTCTTTTATATTATGGAGTGTTCCTTGGTACTTTATGGAAGCTGCCTAAAGTTGTTCATATAAAGTCAAGTATCACTTCACAACAGGGATATGCATCATCAAACTCTCATCATTGTCAAATATCATAGAATACGTAAACACAAACTAAGACAGCTGTGATGCCACTAGGTGATGTAATCTTATGGGACCACCATTGTGTATGAGGTGAAAACATTGTTATGTGGTGCATGAGTGTGTAGCCAAATGGGGGTGGTGATTGGGTACATCTACAGATATGATAGTCTAGCTATATTATACGTAGGGTTCTATTTTGTTTTGTTTTAAACCTAAATTGTCTTACCTAGCTTAAATCTTAATTGTGCTGTATAGGTAAACTGAACCTATAGCCCAGTAACTCAGTCAATAAAGACTATCAGTGTAGATTCCATGGCACAAGTTTTCAGCAAATGATGGTAATTATAAAACCCATTCCTCCTTGCATCACAGAGATTAGGGGAGAAATGGTCTCCCTTGTAACCTCCCTGAGCCTCCCTTTCTCTCTTGCAGTTGACTTGCGTTGGAGTTGGAGATGTGTGTAACAAAGGAAAGGTGAGGACTCTCAGGGATCTTATTCTTTGTTAGGACTCTAAGGCCTTCCCTCCATCCCTGTCTCTCAGTGGAAGTCAGCCTTGACCCCCGAGATCTAATATTTAGATTATTAGCTTGTGCCCAAACCTCTTTCCCCAGTCTAGTACATCTCTCCTGTACCTCTGTCTCTCCCAGAACCTGGTAGTGGCAGTGAGTGCCGAAGGCTGGTTTCACTTGTTTGACCTGACACCTGCCAAGGTTCTGGATGCTTCTGGGCACCATGAGACATTCATGGGAGAGGAGCAGCGTCCAGTCTTCAAACAACACATTCCTGCCAATACCAAGGTCATGCTCATCAGCGACATCGGTGGGCATGGCTGCCTTTGCAGGCAGTGGGGGCGGGTAGGAATCAGTGGGTACTAGAACAGATTCCAAGGGACTGGGGTGAGGGTGAGGGTGAAGTCCATATTCATTTATACATCTATTGTGTATTTAATGCAGAGGTTTTTTTTTTTTTTTTTTTTTTTTAAAGAATTTTTAATATTTATTTTTTAGTTCTCGGCGGACACAACATCTTTGTTGGTATGTGGTGCTGAGGATCGAACCCGGGGCCGCACGCATGGCAGGCGAGCGCGCTACCGCTTGAGCCACATCCCCAGCCCTTAATGCAGAGTTATTGAGTTCCCAGTATAAGCCAAGCATTGTTTGAGACTGTAGAATAATAATAATGAATAAAACACACAAAAATCACTGTCCTCTTGGACCTTACTAGGAAAAGAACAGGAAAGAAACAATATAAATTTTATAAGAAAATTAATTAGTAGGGCTGTGGATATAGCTGAGTGGTAGAACGCTTGCCCAGCATGGGCAAGGGTCCTAGGTTCGATCCCCAGCACATACACACACACACACACACACACACACACACACACACACACACACACACAAATCAGTAGTATATTAGTAGATAATAAATGCTATAGGAAAAAAAAAACAACACAAAGATTTCAAGCATATTGAGGTGGAGGTAGCAGTTTTAAATGGAATTGTCAGGGATATTCATGCTAAGAAGGTGACATTTGAATGAATTGGCACATTGGTTACATATGTAAGAAGTAGGAGGAGAGAAGTGATAGGACCTGCAGGACATTTGCATGAGTAACTGCTATGAGTACAAGGAAAGGCAAGGAGACCAGCATAGAGAGCTGGGCATAAAGTTACACTGAACCAAAGGGACCAGTGGTGGAGATGGTAGCAGAGTACAGGCTGTAAGAAGGTACTTTTAGGCCTCAAGCTGATCAATACAGATTTGGCTTCAGCCCCTCTTGTTTCCTGTGCCCACAGATGGAGATGGGTATTGTGAGCTGGTAGTGGGCTACACAGACCGTGTGGTGCGGGCCTTCCGCTGGGAAGAGATGGCTGAGGGCACTGAACACCTGACAGGCCAGCTGGTGTCCCTCAAGAAATGGATGCTGGAGGGTCAGGTGAGAGGCTGAGCTTGGAGAACAAGAGCCCTGGAGCTGAGAGCAAGGGCTTCTGGGAGAATGTCATGGGACAGGACCAAGGAGGGAAGCAGGGACCATCACTTTGCTGAGAGAGATCCAAAGAGGGTCATTTTCAGTCAGGGTCAAAGCAGAAACTCCAATGAGTGGTAAAGAGAAAGGAATATTGGGCTAAGAACTAGGAGTGTGAAGGGAGATGGTATGGACCGCAGCAGGAGCTGGACCTAGTGGGGCACACACAGCAGAAAACAGATGGTCTGTGTGGAGGAGATGGCGCCTGCCTACTACCCTGGAATTCCTCCTCCTGCTTCTACCCTCTACCTGGAGGGCTGTTTCTAGGACCCCCACCCCAGATCTTCCCTCTTCTCAGCAGAGTATCCCTTTATTCTCTCCCCAACCTAGTTAAGCCCCTGTTCCTGGCAGGTGGACAGTCTCTCGGTGACACTGGGGCCACTGGGTGTTCCTGAATTGATGGTATCTCAGCCAGGCTGTGCTTATGCAGTGCTTCTGTGCACCTGGAACAAGGATACTGGGTCCCCTGCTACCTCTGAGGGGGCCACGGAGGGCAGTAGGTAAGGAAGTATGGACTGTGAATGGTGTGGGGTACATGGAAGCAAGATGGGCTCCTGGAGGGCACGTGGCAGTGAGGTCTGCAGTTAACAGAGCTCTTTCATCTAGATCCCAGCCCAAGCACCTTTCCCATTAAGGAAAATTACTTGGGATCCGTGGAATCTTGGGCTTTAACCTTAGAGTTTCTGAAAGAGGTTCCAATTTTTTTTGGGGGGGGTACTGGGGATTGAACTCGGGGGCACTCAGCTACTGAGCCACATCCCCAGCCCTATTTTGTATTTTATTTAGAGACAGAGTCTCACTGAGTTGCTTAGGGCCTCGCCATTGCTGAGACTGGCTTTGATCTTGAGATCCTCCTGTCTCAGCCTCCCGAGTCACTGGGATTATAGGCATGCGCCACTATGTCCTACAAGGTTCCAAAATTTCTACCTGGCAGCCCAAGCTCTCTTCTATTTGCCACATGGGCCAGGCAGAGTCAGGGATAAGTTTCCAAGCTGATTCAAGTCCTGGAAACTTATAGGGATGGCAGCTTCAAAGGGCCCAGAGAACTCAGCTTACTTGACCTCCCTCTTGGCCCACCTCCCTTCTGCCCACAGGGAGACCCCAGCTGCCCGAGATGTAGTGCTGCACCAGACTTCTGGCCGCATCCACAACAAGAACGTCTCCACTCACCTGATTGGCAACATCAAGCAAGGTGAGGATGGGTGAGGGGGAAGAAGGGAAGGAGCTGAGGGATAGCTGGTCAGTTCTGAGGGAGAGGAGATCTTAGACCTGACCTCATTTCTAGTCCCATCCTTCCCTCTCTGTCACGGGCCACCCCTCATCCTGGAGACTGATCTTACTCTGTCCTTCACATTTTCTTATTGTGGCCCTTTTCTTCAACCACAGGCCACAGTTCTGAGAGTGGTGGCTCTGGCCTCTTTGCCCTGTGCACCCTGGATGGTGAGCAATGCTGGGCTGCATTGGGTAGGTGTTTGCCTGTGGGGTCTGCTCAGTGGCCTGACCCACCCACCCCAAGCCCATGTCTCCCCCTATAGGGACATTGAAGCTTATGGAGGAAGCAGACAAGCTGCTGTGGTCAGTCCAGGTGGATCACCAACTTTTCGCCCTAGAAAAGTTAGATGTCACAGTAAGTAGAAATGGTGGAGAATAGCATTTCTGCCTTCATGGAGAGATGGTTTTTAAATCAAGCCATTCTCCTATTCAAATCAAGTCTCTTAGACACATCAAGTTATCTGGAGTTAGTGTGTTTCCTGACACCACAGTATTTATAAATTCTCTCTACTAGGCAGCTGGAAACTTTTCTTATTTCCATACCTTTCAGTAGAAGCAATAAATCTCCCAAAAAAGAAGTTACTGTAAGAGTCTAGAAGTGAGCTGTTAGTCCCGATTACAGATGTGCATTTTGTAGTTTTTTTCTTTTCCATATGAGTCTATTTAATATGCTGTGCCTCTAAATTGGCAGATGGGGGCTAAACTTTACACTGCTATTGTGCATGCTTGATGGTTTTGAAGGAAGACCTGGGTTGGGGTCTTGCCTCACCCCTCTCCAGTTGAGTGACATTAAGCAAGTGATTATTTCTGAAAGCTGAAGTTTCCTCAGACTAAACTAGGGAATAATATTTCCATCTCCATAGAGTTGCTGTGAGCATTTTTTAAAGTGGTTTATTTGACTTCGGGTACCAGGTACGTGGGAGTGCTTCCTCAGCTCCCTGTTGGCCATCCAGAGCCAAGTTCATGGTCCTTTATATCTCATCCAGCTCCCATCATTAGATCTTTTTCTAAAACACCCCTTCACCACTCCTGCATCCTTGTCTTGGCCTTTTTCAGGGAAATGGGCATGAAGAGGTGGTTGCATGTGCCTGGGATGGACAGACATATATTATCGATTACAACCGCACCGTTGTTCGCTTCCAAGTGGATGAAAATATCCGCGCCTTCTGTGCAGGTGGAATTCTTCCCCATAACCCTTCTCTCTAAGTGCATTTGTATTAAATAAGCATATTACATAGGCTAGGTAAATGTCTGCCTCTCATTTCCACTCTCGACATAGTCCCTAATGAAAGTCTTTATAAAAATTCAGTCCTTTAGCTCTTTCATTAGCTGCTGATGTATGAGTACTAGGTTGCCATCTTGACAATTTTAGATTTTTAATGTTTTTAGTTGTAAATGGACACAATACCTTTATTTTATTTACTTATTTTTATGTGGTGCTGAGGATCAAACCTAGTGCCTCACACATGCTAGGCAAGTGCTCTGCCACAACCTGAGCCACAACCTAGCCCCATCTTGACAATTTTAAATAAGAAAAATTAAAAGATAATAAGGTCTCCATCTCTGAATATTTTCAAGAGTAAGAAGATTCTCATCATCTATTTTTCTGGAATGTGAGAAGACATTAGACAGTTCTTTTCTATCTGAACTTGCCAGAACTCTGTGAAGAAAATTCTCCTAGAGCAGAGCATTCTCATTATTATCAAATCAGGGACCTGGGGAAGTAGCGCTAGCTCTTTGGGTGACTAGGGGATATGTCTGATGACTGAAATGGTAAAAAGCTAGAGTGTACCTCAGTGGTAGGATCCTTACCCAGAATGTACAAGGCCCTTGGTTCCCTCTGTAGCACTACAAAACTAAAATATTATTTTTAAATGATAAAAACTGAACCATTCTCTGGAATACAAGTCCAGTGACTTGAAAGGTTAACATATATACCTTGAAAAAAAGGATTGACACCTAAGAGAAACTTTTCTTTCTGATCACATTTTACTAACCTATCTGTTAAACTAGCAAGGATGACCCTCATTACTCTAGAAACATCATTAAGATGGAAAAATCAATAAATACCACCTTTTTAGGTGCTGTTCTGCCTGGTTTTTTTTACTATAATTTTTCTATACTTGGGTTAGGGCAAATATTTTCTTTGTTTTCCCACTTTACTGAGTTCCCAATAGAGAAAAAATAGAAAGAGGGCCTTTGTTGCTTGACATCTGTGGGAGAGCCAAAACTGCTGATTCTGTTGTTGAATCTTGCTCTTGCCTTCCTACGGGGACTCCAACGTGACCTTTGTCTCATTGCCCACCTTCCAGGCCTGTACGCCTGCAAAGAGGGCCGTAATCGCCCCTGCCTCGTGTATGTCACGTTTAACCAGAAGATCTATGTTTACTGGGAGGTACAGCTGGAAAGGATGGAGTCCACCAATCTGCTGAAACTGTTAGAAGCTGAGCCTGAGTACCACAGCCTCCTGCAGGAGCTGGGGATGGGTGAGTCCCAGGAGAGACAGGGGCCAGGTACCCAGGAAACCCACAGTCTCTTACCAGCCCCTCTTTGGCCCTCAGATCCTGATGACCTCCCTGCAGCCCGAGCCCTGCTTCACCAAACTCTCTACCATCCGGACCAGCCACTACCATGTGCTCCCTCAAGCCTCCAGGATCCCACCTAGCTGGGCTGGCCTCCTGTCTGGTGAAGAATCTTTCTGAACCCCGACTCCCACCCCCAAATGTATCTGTTATATTGGCAGGATAGGGAATGTATTATTACAGAGAAGCAGGATTTGAGTCTTGACATGGAAGGATGGCAGCAACCTTAGGGTGACCGTGAACTAGAGACCTCTCAGTCTTTTTGGTGAAAGAAGAGACAAGGTGACCCTCTGCCCATTTTTTTATAGACCACATCCACCACATCAGCCAAGTGGATCATGAAATCTTGGCCTTATTCAAAATCATTCAGGACACCCCTGCCTCATCCCTAAGCTCCCTACCCTCACTATGCAGAAAACAGGTGTATCTATGAAGACAGAGTGCAGATCTTTTGCATGGCCCCAGCACCCATAAGGAAACCAGACTTTAGATTCAGGGAAGCAGTGGATGTAGGGAATCCACCACCCAATCCTAAGTACTGTATTTCATGGCACAGCTCCATGTCATTGACATTAGTAATTAGTACAGGAATGGCCAATTCTTTGTTTTGTTTAGAGGGGTCTTTCAGGACATTTTACAGTGTAATCTTATTTGTAGTCCTAACAACCCTGAGATGATTTTTCTCCATTTACTGAAGTAGTTGAGCCCGTATTTTCTTACTTTGCTGTTTTCCTTTTTCTTTGGTGCTGCCGGGGACTGAGCCCAGAGCCTCATACATGCTAGGCAAATGTTCTACCACTGAGTGATACCTCCTGCCCTGCCATAGTCTTAAGTATTGCACAGCTTGATAGGCCTTGCTGCCATCTCCCCATCCACTTGTTTCCCCCCCCTTTATTGTCTATGTCATGGTGCTATATTTACAGTCTGATGCAGGTTTCTGATTAGAATTCTATATTGGATAATTTATATTCTTTCTGCCCTTGTTTCTCTTCTCTAAGTCTGTGTTTTTCAAGTTGTACATTGTAATCATTGGGTGGGTTGTGGCCAGCATATTTGAAATAAATGAACTAGAATAGAATAAAGTAAAATAGAAAATATCAGAATCCACTGCTCACAGTATAGATAAGTATTGTTTTGTCACAATTGTGTGTGTGCATTTGTACTGAGTGTATTTTACAAGCCATTGCTCTCCATTGTACTAACCCAATGGGTCAACCTGGGGAAGGGCTCCCATTCACTTTTCCTTCCCATAAGCCAATAGGGACCGAGTTGCCATTCATCTTTCAGTAGGTAGGAGGAGGACCAGAGAACAACACAGCATAGAGAAACAAGTGTTTATTCAAATGGAGAAGTAGCTAAGTCATGGCCTCCCTTGAGCCTAGGTCTGCAATTACAGAAGCAGCAGGAAAGACAGGGAAAGAGGTAGAGGTCGTAGAGCAAGACAGTGAAGGAGAGGCAGTCCTTTAGGAGTTTTAAGACCAGGCACTATGACAAATATGCTAATCAAGCCTTCCTTTCTTTTGAAACATCCCCAGACATTTGCAACCCATAAAATATAACTAATCAAAGTACTCAACCTTATGGGCTGGACATTCCTATACTAACTCCCCTTCCTTATATTGAATTATTCCATTTTCTGTCTTTCCATACTCATCTGAACAGAATCAGAAGGGTAGGTGCCCAAAGAGCAAGTGCCAGAAGGGCCAGGGACCCAGGCTGGAAAAGCATGGCAGTCTAGCTGTGGGAGATAATGAGTCCCAGAAGTGAAGTAAGAGATGCAGGGTTAAGGGCAGTTGGGTGGGGTTGGGGGCCAGTGAGGACAGGAGTTGACTGCAGCCTTTGAGTTCCATGGTCTGGGTTAATTCCTCATTCTTCTTAGTTGCCTTTCTGCAACACTAACTTGGTTTCGTTCTTTTTAGGATGGGGATGAGAGAGAACAGGGAAGCCCAGAGTCATAGGGCCTTTAGTGGAAACTTCCTGAAACAGGGCAGCTACTGAAAAGCAGAGAGGAAGGCAGCCAACTGAGAGAAATGGGACAGCAGGGGTCAGGATGGTGAGAAAAAGGACAGATACAGTAGTCCTCAGCTACCCAGCCCAGATAATGCCCCCACGTCATACATGGCTCTTCCTCTAAGGCAAGGTATTTCCCTCTGGGACCAACTGGGACAGTGGTCACTGGCCAGGCTCTTGGTACAGAGGCAGGAAGGGCAGCTCTGAGAAGGGGGCTTTCAGTCGCAGCACTCCACGTTCCAGGTCAATGCAGCACTGTGGGGTATGGAGTCCATGATACGAGGTCACCTGTCTGCCAACCCAATCTTGTATTCCCCATTCCACTTCCCACAGCTTCCACCTGCTTTCTGCTGCTCCTTCTGCTTCCCATTTATCTGGACCCCAGTTCTCTTGACTTTTCCCTCAGAGCCTGACCTTCACTTCCACTCTGTGCTTTCTGCCTCTTTCTATACTTTGGATCAGGTCCCAAGTATGGTCACCTTACCTTGAGGGAGAGCAGAGTCTGCAGGCCCAGGCAGAATTCAGGACTGTCAACATCTGCAGAAACCATTGAAAAATGAGAGGCTGCATTATGGTCACTGCTGCGCCCTCTCGGCACTCCCTCCTTCCCTGCCCACCCCAATAGCAGGTCTGAGAATACTGGCACAAAGCTCAGGACAGTCAGAGCATCCTTGGGGACTGGCATGCCCGGAAGAGAAAGGTAGGAGAGGTGACAAAAGGCTGTTGGCAAAGGGAGAACTTACCCACCACCTGGGCTGAGCATGCCACCTTCTCCTGCCCTAGCTGGAGCTCCAGCTGCTCCACCTGGGTTGGCCCAGGTGCCAGGTCCCCACCTGGGGCTTTTAGAACCCGCTTCCCTAACCTGTGGTTAGGAAACAAGTGTTATGGCCACCATGGACTCCACACTCTTACTCCCAACCCCATTAATCGGCTATTACTGATTTATTCTCTTTCAATCCCTGATACCACATGGAGTCTATATCCTTGTATTCCCTGCCTGAGCCTCCAACCCACTTTTTGGGGTGTTAGGAATGTGACTCAGTAGTACAATACTTGCCTAGCATGTTTGAGATCCTGGGTTCAATTCCCAGCACCACAAAAAAGAAAAAGAAAAAAGTATTTAAATAAATATGTACTTGCTGGACTTGGGGTGTAGCTTAGTGGTAGAGTGCTTTCTTAGCATGTGTAAGATTTCTAGGTTCAATCCCCAGCACTGCCAAAAACTTAATAACAGCTCTATTGAGATAGTATTCATGTATCATAAAATTCATTCTTTGCATGTGTGCACACACATGCTGAGGGTTGAACCAAGGACCTCACACATGCTAGGCAAGCGCTCTACCTCTGCGCTAAATCCCATTCCTTTTTATTTTATTTTATTTTATTTTAAAGTTGAGACAGAATCTCCCTAAGTTGCCCAGGCTGACCTTCATCTTGCAATCCTCCTGCCTCAGCCTCCTGAGTAGCTGGAATTACAGGCATATACCTCTTTGCACCTAACTAAAATTCACTCTTTTAAAGTATATAGTTTTGGGTTTTGTTTTTTGTAGTGCTGGGATCAAATCTCACTGTCTGTTAGTCAAGGCTCTTCCATTGAGCCATGAGCCAGCCCCAGTTCAGTGGTTTTTAGTATATTCACAGAGTTGTGCAACTATCACTAGCTTATTTGAGGATATTTTCATCACTCCAAAAAGAAACCCCATCCCCATTCATTCATGTGGACCACACTCTTACCCTAGGCGGCTGAGACATCCAGTGGAGATCTGATTGTGTTGGGTTCCTGTGTTCACAGCCACTCTAAGCAGCTGGTCCTGGCACTAAAAAAGAAGAATTTGGGTGGATCAGTGAGTTTCTCGGGAAGAAGGATTGGAGTTGGGTTGCTGGGTGCAGTGGTACATGCCTCTAATCCCAGCAGCTCAGGAGGCTGAGGCAGGAGGATCGTTGAGTTCAAAGCCAGTCTCAGCAATTTAGCAAGGCTCTAAGCAATTCAGTGAGACCATGTCTCTAAATAAAATATAAAAAGGGGTTGGGGATGTTGCTCAGTGGTTAAGCATCCCTAGGTTCAATCCCTGGACTTAAAAAAATAATGATTGAGGTTAAGGCTTCAGCTTTCCCAGCACTTTAATGGTTCTCTTAAAAATGAACATAGGGAATGAACTGAGTCTTCAAAAGGAAATTTTAGGGGAGTTATAATTGAAGCAAAACTGACTCTCAGGTAAAGAAATCAGAAAAGAAGCAGAGCCACACAGTGAGTCCATAAGTTGGGAATGATTTGGCCAGAAATGGTGATGTTTGCTTAGAGAAATTCTCGTGAGGTTGAGGCCTCCTGGTTAGGAATAGAGGAGGGATGAGACTGGAATCCCTTATTAGGAAACTTAGATGTGAGTAACCAAGAGGTTCACCACTGCAAATAATGGAAGACAAGTTTGCTTTCTTTGGGATATTTACAGACATTTGGCTATACACTTTGATACACACACACACACACACACACAGTTTTCTCATTCAAAATATTTATTAAGCATCTACAATGCAGAAGATATGCTGCTGGAAAGTACATCAGTGAATACTGTTCTTCAGGAATGTAAAGGAAGTAAAATATAACTCTGGTACAAAGGTGTTTTTGGTTTGAGGGTTTTGTTTTGTTTTTGAAACACTGGGGATGGAACTCAGGACCTTGTGCATTACCATTGAGCTACACCCACAGCCTTGTAGAAAGTTCTAAAGTCTGTGAGAAGATTGAGTCAAGTGCCTTTTAGAGGTTGAGAGGGAGGAAAGCTATTTCCTACTTGGGGCATCAATAAATCTCTCAAGTAGGAGATAACATCTGAGCTGGGCCTTAAAGGACTGCAGAACTTGGACAGAGTGATTGGAGAACAGGAAGAGAGCTCTCTGGGCAGAAGAGCAGAAGAACATTTGTTGGGAACAATTCAATGGTGGGTGTTTCAGTGGCTCTAGAGATGCCAGGGTCTTCACCTTGGAACATAGGCACTTTTCCTGGGAGACTGCATTTCCCATACATGCATGCACCCTTCAGATATGTAGAGCAGTTGAAGAGGACTTAAGTATTCACATGTAAATATTACAATTTCAGGAGAGAAATGATATCGGGGTGATAACAGATGGAACTGCGGGAGAAAAGATGGGTTGAAACAGAGAAAAAAGAAGAAGGAGAACTTGTTTTAGGTCCAGGATAGGGGAGAAGTGCCCATTTACCCTCCCTGTCCCTTTCCCTGCTGCTCAGGGAGGTTTGTTAAGATCAGTGCCCCAGAAGGCCTCTCACCTTGCAGTTGACCAGAAGAGCTGGAATCTCTGTCCCACTGGTCTTCCTCTTGCTGTCCTGGCCACGAACCAGGGCCTGCACTAAGGGAGACTCCCCCTGAAGCCGACTCTGATTCCCCTCCATCAGACGTCTTTGGATCACGCTGTGCGGCTGCTGGCTCCATGACAAAATGAGACAGGCAGACAGGTGTAAGCCCAAGTATCTAGGCCACTCAGTTCCCCTATTTTACATACCCTAGAGTGCTCACCCATACCAGACCCACATCTCAGACAACGACAGAGCAGGACTAGGGCTACAACTGGGTGGTAGAACATTAGCCTAATGAGTGAGGCCCTGGGTTTAATCCTCAGTACTGCCAAAATAAAAAGAAAGAAAGAAAAGGAAAGGAGCCAACCAAAGACTCCATCAGCCAGATGTTTATAGCAAAATGAAACCCAGGATCAGATCATGCCTTTGTTTTGGGACCCCATTAGGTTTTTCAGCAATGAGGAAATGGAAAGAGGAAAATGACCCATTCTAGGTTAGATTGACCTATTGGCTAAAGGGACATTCCAGGAATTACTGTTAGGCTTGGAGGAACTTGGGTCTTAAGTGTACCCTTTTGTGGGGGTGGGGGAGAGGACTAATTTTGTCTTTTTTTTTTTCTTTCTGTCCTCTTCCCAAAATGGGCTGCAGATCCCAGATGGTGTGATGGAAAGAAGCAATGAAGTCTTCAGAACTGGGATGCTAGTATTCACCCTTGCTAGTATTTTCCCTCATCCACTAACACCTTCACCCTGTCCAGTCACTTCCTAGATTCTACCAGTTTGCCCTCCTGTCTGTAGGGTCCGGCA